TCATGAATTACAAAAGCAGACATGATTTACAAAAGTACACGAATTACAAAATATAAACATGAATTACAAAAGTATATGTAAATCACAAAAATGGACACGAATCATGTTATTAGACATAATTTAAAAAATACATAAATGAAGAAACGATATGTGGTGATAAAGTAATTATTTTTTTTCCAAAAAAAAGCGTCAAGCAGAGGGTATGTTTACCACATAACGATGATAAATCCGAAGGATTTTATCATCACTATTGGATAATGGAAACTGTGCGATGCCAAAAAAATAAAGTTGGCAAAAGATTTAATATTGACGACTCGCGTGATTTGCCAAAAATAAACAAAATTTTACAATCATCTGCAATTGAAGCGTCATTTATGTTATTAATACACTACTGCATTAACGGGTTTGACGAAAACAACAAATTATTTTGGTGTTTAATAATAGATTGGATTTTGCAATCCAACCTGGTCCGTGAAAATTTTAAAAAAATGTTGACAAACTATCTTATATCGAAACATAACAACGTTTGGAGGACTGATCAACGTTATGTGTTAGACACAATTAATGAGTTGTCTTATTTTATTTTTTTATTTAATTGCATTTGCTGTTTTTGGTGATTGTTTACAATTAGCTAATATGATTTACCGTCTTATTTTTAACATATTGTAAACTAAATGCGTTTTGTTTAATCGCTAATTTACAATTTTATCTATTTGGTTTTCTACAATTTGTAAAGCAAATTTACCTGAAGCATTTTTAGTATTAAACGGCTTTGGTGTGAATAAATTAAAACATTTATGGGATATGAAACAATAAATAAAAAAATCAAAAAAAATATTATGAGAAAAACGGTGGTGGTGGATTATATTTGTTACTAATCGGGACATAGGGGAGATCATTAGGGGGATCAAGATTTTTTTTTAATATTAACCTCGCAGATAAGAAATAGGTTCTATCAGTGTCTTCAACTATGCGGTTAGCAACACCATATTCGGTGTCTGACCGCGCACCCCCAACAACGACACCGGGTGCATAAGATATTGACGGACTATCAAATTCTATTCCGTCAGATTCTATTCCATCAGTTTCCATTCTACGGGAGTTTGGACCTTTTGACGCAATTCTGGCAATTGCCGTAAATTTTTCTTGTTTTTCGGGCACAATTTTTACTTCAATAAGTCCATTATTAGAACTTTCTTGATCAACATTACACATTTTTGCCGCGGGTCCTGAAACACTTACAAAAGTGAATTTCCTTTTTAGGTGTGCTGGTCTATCTAGATAAGCTGTTTTATTTGGGCCAACTCTCCACGACCCTTGGTTCTCGCCTTGAATTTTAACATAAATATTGATGTTTTCCGGCGTATTGTTTTGAACCACTATTGCGAATGTATCACCATCACATAAACTGTAATATACGATACCATTATATAAAACCTGTTCATGTATTTGTCTTTCTCCGCGCAAACCCTCACCTTCTTTAAGAATTAATAAGGAGTAGTTATTAGTCATGGTTATTTTATTTACTAAATAAGTAAATGTTGTTTAATGTATCTAATTTGTTAGTGGTATATTTTTTATTATTCTGTTTTTAATATGTGCAAAATTCAATTTTTCGCTTGCATATTTTTGGTTTTGCGTCCAATAAATGAAGGCAAAATATTAAATGTAAAACATTATATTCTTTTTAGACTGCCTAAACAATTTATTTGTTTATTTGTCATCTTGAATTAATCTTAACACGTTTAAGACAAGATGTGTTTTTATTTTAGAATATTTTACCTAATTTGTTTTCAAGTTAAAATGCTTCTGCTAAAATTGTTTCATACTAAAACTACCCAAATTGTTTCAACTAAAATTGTTTCATACTAAATTTGTTTCATACTAAAACTACCCAAACTAAAAATATTACATACTTGGTTTGTTTCATACTAAAAATGCTCATACTAAAAATGTCACATACTTAGTTAGTTTTATACCAAAAATTTTGCATACCTAGTTAGTTGCATACTATAACTGTTCATACTAAAAACATCATATATTTAGTTTGTTTCATACTAAAAACTGTTCATACTAGGTTTGTTTCATACTAAAATTGTTTCATACTAAATTTGTTCATACTAAAATTGTTTCATACTAAAAATGTCCATACTAAAAATGTTCATACTAAGTTTGTTTCATACTAAAAATGTCCATACTAAAAATGTTTATACTAAAATTGTTTCATACTAAAAATGTCCATACTAAAAATGTTCATACTAAGTTTGTTTCATACTAAAAATGTCCATACTAAAAATGTTTATACTAAAACTGTTTCATACTAAAAATGTCCATACTAAAAATGTTCATACTTGAAACAAACTTTACATGAATCAGTCTTACTTGAAACAAACTTTACATGAATCAGTCTTGCTTGAAACATTTTTGCTTGAAACAATTTTACATGATTTAGTCTTACATAAGTCAATCTAACATGAAACATTTTAACTTGAAACAAATTTACATGAACCAGTCTTACTTGAAACAAACTTTACATGAATCAGTCTAACCATGAAACATTTTTACTTGAACAATTTTACATGAATCAGTCTAACATGAAACATTTTTGCTTGAAACAATTTTACATGATTTAGTCTTACATAAGTCAATCTAACATGAAACATTTTAACTTGAAACAAATTTACATGACCAGTCTTACTTGAAACAAATTTACATGAACCAGTCTTACTTGAAACAAACTTTACATGAATCAGTCTAACCATGAAACATTTTTACTTGAACAATTTTACATGAATCAGTCTAACATGAAACATTTTTGCTTGAAACAATTTTACATGAGTCAGCTTTACATGAGTCAGCTTTACTTGAAACAAATTTATTTGAAACGAATTTACTTGAGACAAACTTTGTGTGAATCGGTCTTACTTGAAACAATTTTATTTGAAACGAATTTACTTGAAAGAAACATTACATGAATCAGTTTTACTTAAAACAAATTTACTTGGGACAAACTTTGTATGAACCAGTATTATTTGAAACATTTTTATTTGAAACAAATTTACTTGAAACGATTTTTCTTGAGACAAACTTTGTATGAACCAGTCTTGAAACAAACTTTACATGAACCAGTCTTTCTCGAAACAATTTTATCCGAAACAAATTTACTTGAGACTAACTTTGTGTGAATTGGTCTTACTTGAAACAAACTTTACATGAACCAGTCTTACTTGAAACAATTTTACTTGAGGCAAACTTTGTGTTAACCGGTATTACTTGAGAAAAACTTTGTATGAAACAGTTTTACTTGAAGCATACTTTACTTGAAGCATACCTTACTTGAAGCATACTTTACATGAAACGGTTTTACTTGAGGCGTACTTTACTTGAAGCATACTTTACATGAAACAGTTTTACTTGAAACATACTTTACTTGAAGCATACCTTACTTGAAGCATACTTTACATGAAACGGTTTTACTTGAGGCGTACTTTACTTGAAGCATACTTTACATGAAACAGTTTTACTTGAAACATACTTTAACGAAGCACGCCTACTTTACGTGAAACAGTTTAACTTGAAGCATACTTTACATAAAACAATTACCTAAAACATATTTACCAATGGCGTGTGTTTTTTATTGCGATTAATGTGCCAATAAAACTACTAATAAATAATGAAAAACGCAAAACAATAAAAAAGAACGTGCTGTAGCGCTTTTATTAAATATTATTAATAAAATAGCGATTAGCGTAATAAAATATTACAACTTATTAAAATTTATATCAATAAAATATATTTGTGTTTTTTTGTGTTTTTGATATTGTTAATAGTTTCATTGGCATGATTATTAAAAGTAATACAGCACCTATTAAAACACCGAATTTTATTGATTTTGTGTTAATAGCCTTATATTTCAAGATCAATATATCTTACTGTGCCACCAACAGAAAAAACAGGTTTTAACCGATATGGCAATAATGATGCTCACATTATAATGATATAGCGTTATTTACACAACATAATAATATAACATTAAAAGTATTTTTTATAAAGGGTAATTATTAATAAGTTTCAATAATGATATCAATTAGACTAATATTTATTCTGCTAATAATAATATTGGTTTTTTATCTTATCACACTTTACACACAATTTAAAGTTATAAATGAAGATGAATTATGGACACCGTCATGGTTTTCCGAAAATTTTTCGTTAAATGACATACCGTCTATAACTTCAATATCTCAAGCAAAAAAACCCGATGAAAATGAAAATGAAAATGAAAATGAAAATGAAAATGACATTGACAAAGAACATTTGGCCAATGACGCAGATAATATAATAAATGGACTATTCACAGAAAAAACTGGTGTTTCAATTAATAATTCAACCGAAAATTCAACTGAAAATCTAACTGAAAATTCGGCCGGTAGCTCAAGTGAAGAACAAACAGGTGATTTGGCAAACGATTTAACTAATAGCCCTACTGTCAATAAAATTCCCACAACACTTGTGAATTCAAAGATAGTTCAAAAAAATAGCGCAAATATATTAAAACAAGTTTTGCCAATTGGTTTAGCCAATCAAGAACAACATAACGAAAAATGCAAAGTAGAAGAGCAACCAAAATGCCAGGCTAACGTGTGCGGAATGTCAAATTTACACCCTATTTTAGATCCCAAGTTTAATATTAGAGAAGCATCAAAACAATGCTTATTACTTGAAGACCATCTTAACAACACAAAAAAACGGTGTTTCGATTGTATTAAAAAACATTTTCTTATAATAGACGGTCTTTTAGAAGAGGCAATATCCCTTGAAAAAGATAATAAAACGAGGGAATATTATCGCGGTCTATATTTAGAATGGGTAAAGATAGAAAAACAATACGCAAAAAGTCCAACGATATCCAACAATATTGATGATGTGTCCAAACTTATCAGAGTTTTTAGAAAACCTCTTGTCGAAACATATTTTGACATTATTAGCGATTATGACGATTAATTTTTTGTTTTTATTTTTGTTTCAAAAGCTCTTATGACTTTTTCGGTATATTTGTTTTCGTCAATTGTTCCAGTATTTCCACAACTTCTGCAAAAAACAACCAATTTTTTTTTCTCAATATCATAGTTGAGCTCCGGAAATCCGCATTTTTTACATAAAACAAAGTAATCAATAAATTCATATAATGCCAACTTAATCGTGTTCGTGTCAACATCATTTGTGATAATCACTTTGCAATCCCTTTCAACAATCGCCAAAGACAGACGCTTTTTTAGATAAATTACAATTAGATCATGTGTTGGGATTTTGAGGTCTAATGCAATTTTTGGGAGATTTGTAATACAAGTCTTTGTTCGTTCTTTTTGAAAATTGATCGTATTCATTTTGTACCTGTAATTCGGGTCACCAATTTTTTTTTCGCCTTGTATTGGTTCCATATTTTAGTCTATTATTAAACAGATTAATTAAGTTGAATAGATTATATGATGTTCAAAATGCAATTTTTTTAACACGGGTGAATTATTGTATTCCATATAAACTAGGTCATGTTTCAATTTAAAATTTGTTTAGATTATTACTGATGACTGTACTAGATAACATGGTTTTTTTTGGTTTTTTATTGATTCGTGTCTCATTGAATATAAAGCAAGCTTGTCTTAACTATGGTCATGTATTATGCCACATATTTTCGATATCTACATATATAAATCATATAAGTCGGTTTTGCTACTTAATTGTGTTAGAAATTAATAAAATATTACACCATTGTCCAAATATTTATGACTCTTTTTACTACGCGATGAGCATAAACATAGACAGGAAAAACGTTATAAACATGTACAATGGCATGATTGTTCATAAAATAGGTGTACTGACAGAAAGTTTAGACAAACAAATCGCAACTGATGAAAGACTTTCAGATTATATTACTTCCGCAAAAATAACTATTAAAGATGACATTAATCAGGTTGCACAGACCGAGATAAAAAAAATATATGTATTAACAAATATTGAGCTTTATAAATTGTCGGACAATAAAGTAATTGAGGAACTTCATCGTCAAATTGACGAAATTTGCCAATATTTTAACAAAATGTTCTACTTAAATAATTTTAGTAGGCGTATTACAAGACAATCTAATATCATGATTGTGGTAAAAGTATCGGAAGTTGTTAAAAACTGTGTTTGGAATGTTATTGATCAGTTAGAACAAAAATGTTGTGTAACACCAAACTATCTTGAATCTGTAAATCTTAAAGACATTGAAAAGGAATTTATGTACTCTCCAAATAAAGAACACATAAATTACATTAATGGTATAAGCGCGCCTTACATTACATTTCCTTATGTAAAACAAGCAAAAATTATCAATGTTGTTAATTCCGCGAAAATAAAACTGTTGACTAATATTGATCATTGATCTAATCGACAAGTAATGATATAGAGACCGGAACTATTGTCGAAACCCCAAGGCCCAAAGCTAAATTACGATAAAGACTCGTTTTTTGCGAATCTTCTGATGTAGTAATCGGTTGTTCGCCTTTATAGCTCTTATATGCGACAATTGAAGAAATAACAATATTGCACAACAAAATTCCACAGCCCATTATCGCCATGTCATTATAAGCATAAAAAATGTAGATGCTTAACAAAAATAGCAATCCAATAAGTGTTAAACATACATATTCCATTATCTGGTCGTTTATTTTTCCCGTCGACACCCATGCAATATAGAACGCAATAGACGCCAATATTAACAAGGAATAAAGTCCAAACATAACATTTTTAGTAAGACCCATGATTTTATTATATAGTTAGTACATAGAAAATAACACATTTAGCAATATGTTTGTTGCGCAAAATTCGCCAATAACGGGATACTATTCTTGACCGAAAAAATACGATTGCAATCGTAAACAGTGTGTTTGACACCATTATTTATGTCAATAATAATAGTGTTATCGTCTTTTATATTTGCGGAAAATTAACACGTTAGATTTGGATGTATTAGTTTACACCCTTGAAGATTTAAAATAAAATGGGACAAAAATCCTATTATACTCTAAAAGGTTTATCCATTACAGGAATATGTAAATTATGATTATTTTGTAGCGACAATTACAACTACAACTGATTAGTTTTTAGTCCTCTTTATATTATATTGGCATTAATGTTTTTACAACAAAAACCTATATTGAAGTAAGGGTGTAAATTGCTATTATATTACCAGAACTATTTGCAACACTTATTAAAAAAAACTGATAAGTTAAGTTCTATGCAAGAAATCGGACAATTTAGTTAAGTTCGTTTTTAGAAAAAGATTTTAGGGAACAATTAATTATTCTGTTTTAACAGGGAAAGTTTTTTGGACCTATAATATGTGTCGCTAATATGTTTTCAAATAGCGACGTGTTTTTAGTAAAAAGTGTGTGACTTGCCCAATAAAATATTGCGAACCGGGCAAATTACAATTTATAATTTATAATTTACAGTCTAAATAAATTTCTTGCCTCTGTGTCGAACTGGTATGACGGTTCGCCAATTTTTAATTCGTTTGGACCAAATTGGGGTCCCGCAATTGATTGGCTATGGCTGCTATGGCTATGGCTATTAGATGATCCTATCGAGTTAGTCAATTCGACATTTTCAACCCCCTTTGAGTAAAGGTAATATCCAAGAAGAACTGCAAGAAATAGTACAAACCACCACCTATATCTATAGAGAAAAGTTTCGGAGTTGTGATATATTCTGTCGACCGCGATTTCGTTATCCGTATAGTCTTTGGTTTTGTTATTTTTAATATCAAAGTTAGTCATAATGTTATACCTACTAAATAGAAAAAAGTTATTTTATATTTTTTAATGAGCCATTTTTGAATTATTTGTGTCAATGTGTAAGATAGGAACTGTAAATATAGTAGGTCGTTTTAGATTAGAGTTGTTATTATTATTTGATTGTTATTTTTAACGCATTTTTAAGAAAAAAAATACGCGGTTTAATAAAACATATTTCATTAATATAAAAGTCAACATTGTTGCAATATTTTATTTCTGTTACGACAATTATTTTATAAAATAAAATGAGTAAATAAATAATTATTTTTATTGCAATAATGCTGTTTATCGATCTTCAGGAATTTTTGTCTAGTAAAATAATTTTACACAACCCAAAAACACTGTGAATATGATGAAGCTGTGGCGTTTTTTTAAAGAAAATCAAGACAAAGCTGACATTATAACATATAACAAAATTGCGCACATTTCATTATGTGACATTGGTGTTTTGAAGGTGGATGAAGACGGAAACAATTTTTATCAATTAAATATAAACGATTATGTCGACAACAACGGTTATCGTTATGATAAAAACGGCACAATTGTTGACAGTATATGTTGTAAGAGCACACCGGACTTAAAAATCCGACTCAGTTATAATATCGGGGGTGTTGAATACACTTCGGACGAAATTGACAAATATGTTATTGGGTCATCAAAATATCATGTGTTTGGAATACATTACGGGTATTATATGTTAAACGACGACGATAACAAAACATTAGACAAAAATCATATTATACTAAAGACAATTTATCAAATCAGTGGTATTAGTTACCCCAAAAAATATAAACATTTCTCTTAAAACATGTCAATTTTGCCCAAATTTACAGACATTGTCGGCG